CCAGTATTTGCAAAATAATGTGCTGAGATTTTGATTGGAATCACATTGACTCAATATATCAATTTAGAAAGAACTGACATATTGCGTTATTTGACAATAGTGAGTCTTCCTATCCATGAACTTGGAATATCTTTCCATTTTCTTGCTTCCTTTTAAATGACTTTCAAAGTTAGTTTTCCTCTCGTACAAAATATGTACAAAATCTATATGAGGAATCTAAAGTATTTCATTGTGGGAAAACCAGTTATTATTCTTTTAATGTCCTTTGAGTTTCTAGAAATGTCTCCTTTTTCATTTCTGATATTAGCGATTTGTGTCTTCCTTTACTTTTTTTACTTAGCCTTGGTAGGCCTTATCAATTTTATTGATCCTTTCAGAAAACCTACTTTTAATTTTGTTGATTTTTCTCTGTTGACTCCCTGTTTTTAAATTTCATTGATATCTACTCTAATTTTTATTATTTCTTTTCTTCTGCTTAGTTTGGGTTTAATTTGCTTCCTAGTTTTCTAAGGTGAAGACTTAGGATACTGATTTTAGATCTTTCTTTCTAATATTATATATGCTTTCTATGCTATACATTTGCTTCTAAGCACTCCTTCCACTGTATCCCTCAAGTTTTGATAAGTTACATTACATTCTTATTTAATTCAAAATACTTTTAAATTTCTTGTGAAATTTCTTCTTTGATCCATGTGTTATTTAGAAATATGTTGTATAATCTCCAGGTATTTTAGGATTTCCCAGCTCTTTGTTATTGATTTCTAGTTTAATTCCACTATGGTCAAAAAGCAGATGTTGTATGATTTCTATTATTTTATATTTCTGGAGGTGTGTTTTCAATGACCCAGAATGTCATCTATCTTGGTAAATGTTCCATGTGGGTTTATGAAAAATGTGTAATCTGCCGTTGTTGAATGAAGTGGTCAATAGATGTCAATTACATACAATTTATTGTTGTGATGTGTAATTAAACTATGTCCTTACTGGTTTTCTGCCTCTGGATCTTTCCAATTATAATAGAAGTGTGTGAAAGTCTCTAACTGTACGTGAGGATTTATCTTTTTTCCTTATCCTTCTATCAGTTTTCATCTAACAAATTTTGACAATTTGTTAATAGGAACATATACATTGAAGATTGTTGTTTCCTTAGAGAACTGACCTACCGTTATATACTTCCCCCTTTTGTCTCTGATAACTTTTATTGCTCTGAAATCTGCTTATCATGAAATTACTATAGCCACTTCTACTTTCTTTTCATTAGTATTAGCATGTTATACATTCGTGTCTCATTCCTTTATACTTAATCTATATGCATCTTTGTATTTAAAGAGGATTTCTTACAGACAATGTAAAGTTGAGTCTTGTTTTTTTTAATCCACTCTGATGATTTCTATCTTTTAATTGGTTTATTTAGACCATTGACATGTAAAGTAATTAGTGATATAGTTGAGTTAATGTCTACTATATTCGTTACTATTTTCTATGTGTTGCCGTTGTTATTCATTTCCATTTTTCCTGCCTTTTGTGATTTTAATTGGGCATTTTTTACTCTTGTTCCCAGATACCACTAATTATGTAGACAATCACATTTGGGGAAATTAGAGGGATTAACACATCTGGAGTGCAATAGATAAGCCACCTTATCCTGGGAAAAATACCTTCGTGGCCATGATATCTCCTCTATCTGTAAGTATTAATTGGGCATTTTATAGAATGCCTTTTCTGTCCTTAGTTAGCATACTATGTATTGGTTAAGCTTCATTTTTTTCTTACTTTTTTTAGTGGGTGCCTTAGAGTCCACAATCTGTTTTTCTTTTACCTTCACTGATTCATTCTCCCATGCTCTTCCTTTCTTTACGTAGATCTGAGTTTCTGGCCTATATCACTCTCCTTCTCTCTAAAGTACTTTCTTTTTAACATTTCTTGCAATTCAGATATACTGGCAAAAAAATTCCTCAATTTTTTTTTTCTGAGAAATTCTTTCTTCCTCCTCTACTCTTCAAGAATAATTTCACAGGGTACAGAATTCTAGGTTGATGGGTTTTTTTCCTCTCTAAATATTTGACTCCATTCTCTTCTTGTTTGTATAGTTTCTGAAGAGATGTTGGATACAATTCTTCTCTTTGCTCCTCTAGTAGTAAGGTGTTTTTGCCCTCTGGCTTCTTTTAAGATTTTTTTCTTCATTTTTGATTTTTTGAAATTTGAGTAGAATATACCTAGATTTTATTCTTTTAGCACTTATCCTGCTTGGTGTTCTCTAAGATTCCTAAATCTATGGGTTGGTGTCTGACATTAATTTGGGGAAATTCTCAGTCACTATTGCTTTAAATACTTCTTCTGTTCCTTTTTCTCTTTCTTCTCCTTCTGGTATTTGTATTACACGTATGTTACATGTTGTTGAGTTGTCCCACAGTTCTTGGATGTTCTGTTCTGGTTTTGTTTTTTTTGTTTGTTTGTTTGTTTGTTTTTTTCAGTCTTATTTCTCTTTGCTTTCCAGTTTTAGAAGTTTTTATTGTGATATCCTTAACCTCACAGATTCTTTCCTCAGCGATATCCAGTCTACTACTGAGCCCATTGAACACGTCCTTCATCTCAGTTAGTGGTTTTGATCATGAACATTTCTTTTTGATGCTTTCTTAGAATTTCTATCTCTTTGCCTGCATCATTTGTCTGTTATGCTGTCTCCTTTTTCCATTTGTTTTAATTTCTGGTCTAATAATTCCAACATTCCCACCATGTTTAAAACTCTGGTGATTGCCAGTCTCTTCAAACCATGCTCATTGCCTTATATTTGACTTATAACTTTTCTGTTAAAAAGTGGATAAGATGTACTAGGTAAAAGGAACTGAGGCAAATAGACCTTTAATGATGGCAGTAACGTGTGTAGGGAGAGAAAAATTGTTCTATAGTCCTGTGATTGGGCCTCAGGCTTGGATAGTCCATGCATCTGGACTGTGAACTTCACCAGTGCTGCTCAGTTTCCTCACCTCTCCCTTAGCTGGGACAGGATGGCTAGAAGCAGTAGCGGTTGGGCATTTCCCTTCCTACAAGAAGGTTAGGCTCTGACAAAATTCCAGGAGACTATGCTGTGATAAAGCAGTTTCTCCTGAGAGTGGACCTGTTAAGAACAGAATGTGGAGGGTTTTACTTTTGCCTAACACCCAGAAATTTCTGTCCACTTCATGGTCTCTATTTCCATGTATCTATCTAACCACCCAACCATTCACCCGTCCATTAAAACAGGTGTGTCCACTCTGTGCTCACA